TAAGATGGAGCGAGGTTTTCCCAACTAGAAACACAAATTCTGCCCAAGACCTGCTTAACAATCTGAATTTTTATTCCCCTCTTCCCCCAGATGTGGGATAGGGAAAAGATGGGAGTTTCAAAGGAGGGCTGCTATGAGGTCACAGTGCAGCTTTCTCCTATAGAATCTGATTCTGTAGGTCACAGAATCATAGAGAATCTGGTGCTGTAATTCACAGGATCATATAGAATCATTCCGTAGTTACCAAATCATACAGAATCTGATGCTGTAATTCATAGAATCCCTCCTGGAGACTTGATTTAAAACATTGTCCTGGGTCAGCAGAAAATCTGTGCATTTCAGTTAATTCTTGCCTTAAGGGGAGAGCCCTGGGAATAAAGTAACACCATCAAATCTGGGAGGGGAAGAGGTTCCACAGGGTCTTACCTGGACTCTCGCCAGAGCCAATACACAGTTATCTCCTGTCTTGGAAGCTGTCAGCGTATAAAGACATACTTTGTTGTCTGCAATCCTTAAGGATGTCATTAATGGAAACTGATGCCTTCCTTCTCCTTTCAGGCTAATGGCAGCTGGCAGGACGCTGCCACCGACCCTGGAAGCGTTAATTCCGACGCGTCCAATTAAGCTTTTAGGACCTATGGATGAGAGGAAAGAGGTCATTAGTGTCATTTGTCAGTGTTGCTCCATTGCCAAGCCTGTTGTTTCGTACAACTCGACGGACACACAGCTGATTACCTCAGAACCCCTGGAACCAGGAGAAGATTGTGATTCCAATGATACCTCTCTACCTCTCAGCCTCACGCGGTTCTTCCGTGCCCCCTGGGACGGGAAATGGTTCGAAGAGAACTCTGCTTCCTTTTCCTAACCAAATTTCCTTTGTTTTGTTGGCTTGAAATACGGATTTTCTGGTCACAACCTAAAAGTGTCTCTTCTGAAGTTTTCCAGCTTCGGAAAAACGGACTTATTTTGCTTTCTGTCAAGTGGTTTTTTTACTATGGCATTTCTGTTCTA